AGCCTGGGCCCTTTGTCCTTCTGCCACTCCGCTTCCAGCACCCTCTTTGTTCCCCTGGCTGGTGCCATTGGGCACTGATGATGCAGCAAGCTCACTATGACATATCTGGCTCTCATATCTTTGTGTGTATAGCCCTGAGCTTTCCCTCTTGGTACATTCTGTTCCAATTTCAATCCTTACCTTGGCACCACCTTTCCCATGTACTAGGCCCTGACCTTCTTTGAGCTAAATCTGCCTGTATAGCGGATATGCCATTCACTGCCTTGTGTTGCCAGAGTTTGACTCCCCAACCTAGTGCTTGGTATGTGATTGACACTGAATTTTCAAATCTGTGGATTTAATTCAACTCAGAATTTCTGTATAAGTTTCAGTCCTAAGTCATGACCATGGTGTTGGGGAGTGACTGCTCGTTGTACCTCTCTTTTATATAGCATGCATGTGCATGGTATGCTAAGACATTTTTTTTTTTTTTTGACAGGCAGAGTGGACAGTGAGAGAGAGACAGAGAGAAAGGTCTTCCTTTTGCCATTGGTTCACCCTCCAATGGCTGCCACAGCTGGTGCACCGCGCTGATCTGATGGCAGGAGCCAGGTGCTTCTCCTGGTCTCCCATGGGGTGCAGGGCCCAAGGACTTGGGCCATCCTCCACTGCACTCCCTGGCCACAGCAGAGAGCTGGCCTGGAAGAGGGGCAACCGGGACAGAATCCAGCTCCCCGACAGGGACTAGAACCTGGTGTGCCGGCGCCGCAAGGCAGAGGATTAGCCTGTTGAGCCGCAGCGCCGGCCAAGACATTTTTTAACAAAAAAATGCAACATGCAAATCTCATTCAGTATGGACATATTCATATCTACCTTGTCTGTTCCAATGCATTCCCCAAACTAACGATAAGTGATTTTCAAAAATGCAGATCTGAGCTTGCCACCCTCTTTTATGAGACCCTTCGATGGCTTTATATTATTTTAAAAACATTTACATATTTATCTACATGAGAGAGAGAGAGAGAGAGATCCTATCTGCTTGTCCACTCTCCTGCAACAGTTGGTGCTGAAGCCAGAAGCTGGGAACTCAACATAGATATGCCACATGAGTGGCAAGAGTATTATTACTTGCTGCCTCCCAGTGTCTGCATCTGGGGAAGCTGAAGTCAGGAGCTGGAGCCTAGGATCAAACCCAGGTACTCTGATATAGAGCATGAATTTTTAATGCCACTGCCTTTATTACATTTAGATTGAAATATAAATTACTTGGCAGGTTCCATCCAGAGTGATCTGTCATTTTATCTCTTCTCACTAGGCACCTTGGTCTCCACTCAGTGCTACCAGCAGGCTTGATGCCTGCTCGTCTGTGCCCTACACGTATGCTGTTCCTGCCTAGAACAGTACCATTCTTCCTGTTTGCATGAATAACAGCCATGCAGTAGTATCAGGGTCAATGCTACTCCCTCAGGAAGGACTTCCCTGATGCTTTCTAATTGAGTACAACTCCAGTATCTGGTCTTCTTCACAGCCCCTGCATGCACATACAGGTTGTACACCATGCACAGATGCCTTCACACCAACGACAAAAGTAACTTGAATATTTATCCTGATAACCTACTGACAGATGTAAGTATAGTGTTTTAAAAGGAGAGGGGCCATAGGAAAAATCGTGCACATACTTGCTGTATTGGTTATCAGTTGCCCCGTTTCGTTAAACACTTCTCCTATGCAACACTTACCAGAGTTGTTCATGCTTCATAATTAATTGTTCATAAGATTTAAACAATTTAGATTCGATCTCTCATGCCAGCAGGCACAATCCCTTGGGAAAGGATTGCCTCAGTGTTGGGTGTCACTGCATCCTCAGAATATACATTTTCTTCCACCACATGGGGACACTCAGTGATTTGGGGCTGGCTGCATCTTGGTTTGATGAGGCCCTAATAGCTGCATCCAGAATCTTAAGCAAATGGATCTTCTCCCTTCTACTTCACACTCCTTGCTGGCTTATATCTGTTGTCTGGGTCAAAAGAAAGGGAGTCCATCACCCTTTGCTGGTGGGCTATCTCCTCTATTTCACAGAATTACTAAAGTCATCCACCAGACCTAAGATATTTCACAGCCTTAAACCATAAAATTCCCTACATTTTCTAAATGGAAGAAGCCAGATACAGAAAGACAAGTACTTCATGAGCTCACCCATATGTGCAATGTAACAAAGTTGATCTTACAGAAGTTGCGAGTGGAATGTTAGTTACCAAAGGCTGAGGGGAGTGGGGAGCTGGATGAATGGTAAAGATTGATTAATTGGGCCTATGCTCGCTTTGGCAACATATATATTAAAATTTTGAACGATTAATTGGCCCTAAGTTTTAATCAAGTACAAGAAGCTCTGGTGTCCTATTGAATACTCATTAGATTTATTTCAGACAATGATAATTTGTTCTCTCTATATATTTAAAACTGGAAGAGAGGAATTTGAACATTTTGACCATAAAGGAATAAAAAAGTCTTCCAGGAGATAGTTATATTTACTCTAATTTGAACATTACACAATGTAGATATCTTTTGCGATATCATGTACCTTATAAATATCAAACATTCTTTAAAACATCCCCACTTTTTTTCTTTAAAAATGCCCTCTTTGTAGTTGCAGACATAGTATTTGCATTGAGTAGAGTGGCAGACAGAAATAAGGTACACCTAAGTTCATCAGATGTGCTTCATAGCAGTGTGAGGCAGTGTATGGTATTTGAGCGGTTCATTTTCCTTTCTGTTTTATGAGCTTTTATACAGTATTATGATAAAATCTCATACTCCTGAGAGCCTGACTCCACAGAAGCAGCCACGCTCACACTGTTCAGCCCCAGGCAGGTTCCCCTGGCAACCAGGGCCACCTGAGCCTCTCAATGCTCTGTCCATTTTGGCTTCGTTTTTTTTTTTTTTTTTTGGGGGGGGGGTACTTGCCAAAAAAAGAAACAGAGTAGGAGTTCTCAAGTGAAGCAAAAGTGCCTTTATCAAAAGTAGTATTGTTTTACCTTCAAAAAACTGTCTCCACTGGTAGCAATTTCTTATCAGTGATCAGAGTTAAGACATTGCCTTATAGCTTAAAAGTCCCAGTAATAGAAGTACACCCCAGAGAAACCCAGTCAGACTCCATATGTGTTTGAGAAAGGCTGATCCAGAGGCTGAATGGCTGAAATTGTACCAGCTCAGAAACTTCTTTAAAGTTTACATCTTTAAAACTTCCTCCATTTGGCAAGTGATACCAGTTCCTTTCTTTTTTCTGTCCTTGCTAAGCTGTCCCTTCTAAGTTGTTTGGTTTGAAGGGAAAGAGTAGCTCTGTGTTTGTTCTCCTTACATGAAATTATTTTTTTCAACAGGCTTACCGAAGAGCCAGAATTAACTGCTTTACCACCAGATCCAGCAGTCTCTAGCAGTGTGAGCCACTTGTGTGCTAACTAGAGACAACCATGGTGATGTGTGAGTGTGGAAGGTGGTTGCATAATAGGGACACATCTGGGGTGCATAGCATCAAGGCAGTTGTATCTTTCATGAATGAGATTATAAGTAAATAATAGAGAGCAAAGGGAAAGATGGATTATTCTGGATTTCCTTGATATTTTCCCTTGACAAATTCTCTAGTTTCTTTTCAACTCTATTACCACTCAATTTTTTGTTAATTTCAAGCAAAATGTCTTTCCTGGGCTCCTGTGGTGGTAGCACAGGATGCACCTGGCAAGAAGCAAGTCTCAAATACGTGGACAAGATTCTGTTTGCTGTCTCCCTTATGGAGGGGACACTCTTAGACACACAGAAGTCTCTGAAGAACTAACATTCTGGGAAAGTAGATGTTACTTTGTAATGAAAACATGCAACTCAGTTTAAACAAAATACAAGATTTGATAATAATTTGCAGAACTCAGAATGGAAGGATTGTTGCTTATTGTGCATTTATGGCTGTGGGGAGACTGTGGTGGTCAAGTCCTCCTTTGGGGTCACAGTGTCTTGAAAGAGGTAGGAGCCCTCTCATACTGTCTGCTGTGGATGGAAGGGCTGTATCAACCGTTAGGAGGCCCAAGTGTGGGCCTGGATGTGAGCTGTGGTAGGCAACTGGGGAACTGTGTTAGTCTGAGACCGTGAGTTCCCTTCTGAAATCTAGGTGCCTAATTCTTGGTCTCCTCCAATACCCAATCGGGAGAGGAGGATTTTCCCATTCTCTTTTAGGACCTTCACCGCAGTGGCCTCATTCTCTTCCTCCAATTCACCTTTGTGATCTTTGCTTCTCAGGTCCCATTGGTCATCAAGATCAAACAGATCCTTGCCCTGACAGTTATGCAAAGGACTGGTGATGATTGATTTTTTTGGATGGAGATTCAGATTTTTTGGCTGTGTGGGAGAGGAGGAGCTACGGTGCAGAGAATGTGCAGGGGTCAGTGTAACACAAACACCTCCTGAGGTTAGCACTGTGGCCTGGGTCAGACGAGTGTTTTGCTGTTCCCAGGTATGAGCAAGAATTACAGATAATACCTGTAACCTGCCGCGTGGGTGTCACCTGTCACCCCAGTGAGAGCACACAGAAAGGAGCAGAATGCACAGAAGCATTAAATTTAAGTGTCCTAAATCATTCCTGCTTCAGGCTCTGGTTTTTACCTGGATCATTTGCTACTTTATTTGAACGGGTCACTCAGAAAAAAGAATTACAGAAGCTTCTTGCATCGCCTTTCAAAAGATGTGTCCAGTGAACTATGCAGAAAGCAAGTTACAATATATACTCCGAATAACACAGATGCATGCATGCACTTATAGGGATATGTTTACTCATTGCTTCGTGTGGACCGCCCGGCGGCTCAGTCTCAGACCTCTGGGAAGGCTGCGGAGGCATTGAGGCGCGCCCAATGAGCACGAGGGTCCGTTGGAGTGGCCAGGCTGCGGGGCCAGAGGCCAGCTTTGGGGACGGGGGCGGGGCGAATATGGGCGGGACTAGGGCGGGCGTACCCCACCTCCCCCATCAGCAGCTCTCCGCCCCCGGCTCCCCTGTTCTTGGCTGCGTCCTTGCCGAGTCCCGCCCCGCTGAGCAGCAGCTGGGAGTGGGTGCCGCGCGGCAGGGACTGCACTCCGCCTAACGGGCGCCCTTCGTCCAGAGCGCACGGCTGCAGATGTGCGGGGAACCGAAGGGCTGAACAGGACGTTGGAGCGCGCTGTTCAGTACCTTCGGGGGCACCCCCTGGAACGTTCCTTCTGCCTCAAGGAACCCAGAGGTGAGCTTTGGACTTTCGAGGCGCAGTCGTAGGTGGGGCTCCGTGCTGTGTGTGTGTGTGTGTGCATGCGCGTGTGTGGGGTTGAGAGGTGGGGGTGTTCTTGTCCCTGTGGGCTCATATCGGCAGTCCAGAGACAGTTCCGCCAGGGTTCAGAACTAGGAGTGGGTAGGGGACATCTCAGAAGCTGGAGGAGAAGGAGCGAGAGCTCTCCATCCCTGCCCTGTACCCAGGGGGTACATCAGCTGGCGCGGCTGGCAACAAGAGGTTCGTGCTCCCTACCCCGTTCCCGAGGTTGTGCAACACTGGTGTGGGTGACAGTGGGTTCTGAGTCCCCAGATTCACCAGCCTCCGCGCGCAATTTCGGGCGCCAGCAAAGTTTGCCTCTTCGGCTCCAGCAGGTCCCGTCGCTCCCGCAGCTCCGCAGGTGCAGCCCATCGACCTCCGCCAGCTGCAGCCGCCCGATGATGGAATCCCCGGTTCAGATCTTCCGCGGAGAGCCGGGCCCCACCTGCGCTCCGAGCGCCTGCCTACTCCCCAATGGCAGCACTTGGTTCCCGGACTGGGCCGAGCCGGACAGCAAAGGTAACGGCACAGCCAGCGCCGAGGACGCGCAGCTGGAGACCGCGCACATCTCCCCTGCTATCCCGGTCATCATCACCGCTGTCTACTCCGTGGTGTTTGTCGTGGGCTTGGTGGGCAACTCGCTGGTCATGTTCGTGATCATCCGGTGAGCACGGGAGCACGGGGTCAGGGCGCCGCAGAGGTAGGGTGGAGCCGGGAGCGGGTCAGGGGCGGACAGTGGGCAGGATGGTTGGGAAGGTTTTCCTGGCCGGGTTTCTGAGATTCTCAGCGGGTGGGCTTTTAGAAGAGAAGGAAGATTTCCTGGCCGTTTTTGGTACGGGACTGTGGGGTTCACGCAGGGCAAATCCCAGCAGGCAGGGACATCTGGAAGATTTTAGAGCGACCAACCCCTTCACCCCGGGTCCCAAGCCCCTGCTTGGGTCAAGGGAAGCCCCAGGGTGGGGGCAAGGTCGAGGTCACCAGGTAAGGAAAGGAATCCCTACACGTGGCCTTTGGCTTGGTTGCCTGCACCAGGTTGGAGGGCTTTGTTTTGTCCCTTGAGAATACTTCTTAGGAAACATGTGAGACCTACTGAATGCATTGAAAGTAATTCAGAATTTCCTATGACTCATCAGACTAGTGTTAATGGCTTATGAAACACAGCCACTACACTATTTAGGGTTGTTGACAGCTATATAGGAGCCTTAATTAGGACTGCACTGCAATCTCATTCCTTTAGAAACTCTGACTTTTCCAAGGAAGCCCTCTCATTTATCCTCTAATGTTTGGGCCATGTAGCCTTCCAGAAATTGCCTTGGTGGTTTGGATTTTTCTCCATTCCCCCTTATCATAAGATATTCAAGGTTTTATTTTAATTGTTCTTTTGTGGAATTTTCTTGAGGTCAACTTCCAATAATAGTGATCTGTGTGTATGCTGATTTTCTGATAGGTGAAGTGACTCATTTTAGAAAAGAAAAGGAAATAAGCCAGCTTTGTTCTGAGTGATTTTTGATATACAGGTGTTCCACTTTCTGGGAAACTTATTGCTTGGAAAGTACATCTTTGACAGGAAGCTTAAGAATGAAAGCTGGAGAAATCCCTATGAATTCAAGGGGGGATGCAAATCGTCCAGATTAGGAAGTAGAAAGGGTGAAAAACACATTTCTTCCTTTTTTTTTATCCTGAATTTAGTTTTTTTAAAAAAATCTTTTATTTATTATGAACTTTAAGAATGTGCATCTTTCTCTTGAGAAATCATCACAAAAAATAATCCTGTTTATCAGTTACTTGTTTATTTATTGGCTTGAGAATATCAGGTCTTTTATCTCCATCTATGCTCTGAAACTAACAACCACCATTTAAATCTCCAAATACATACCACAAAGCTCATTTCACCTACAATATGTGTGCATAGCTTTGTACCTTCAGTTTCCACAATTGCTTATTGCATTTCACAAGACTTATATCACTGAGAGTCTGTAGAATTGGGAGGTGGATATTTTGAAAACAAATTGTCCATCCAAGAAGTTAGTAATCCCAGCACTAGTTTCCATTAAAGATCGTAGTAACCAAAAAAAAAAAAAAAAAAAAAGAGAGAGAGAGACAGAGAAAGAAAGCACAACTGTATTCTAAATTACAATTGAAACTCTAAGAACTGTTTGCTGCTTTCTTGGCAATAAAATATTATTCCACAAAAAGAGGACTTTAAGAAAAAATCAGCTTAGTTCCTACTAATCCCATATCTAGGTGCTCTTTTTGTTACTTGAATGATCATCTGAAGTTTTGAATTTGAACAGAACTTCATTGTTGCTTCTCTGCATCTTTTTTTTTTTAACATGGCACTGCAGACAAGGCTTAAAAAGGATGAAGAATCCTAAAATAACATTAAATGATATATACAAAGATAGGCCTGTCAAATGGAAGAAATAATGATTGTAGATTAACTAGGACTTTTAATAGATAAATTTTTCCAAAGATATCCAGACCTAAAATTTATTAAATGAGGATAAATTCATCTAAAAATATAAAAGAAGCTAGGTACCTAAGACAACATCATCCCTCCTTCCACTCATTTGCCGCTACTTGGGGGTTAAGTTTGAGAAGAAATGAAAAGTGCATAATTTTACTGCCCTTCTGCAATGGTGATCTACCAATACTAAAATGAGAGTTCACTTAAATCTATAGGTAAGAGGGTGAAGGAAAATTTAAAATTTGTTCATACTTCTCGGTGGTCAAAGAATTGAAAAATAAAACCTTTGAAGGAAAGTTGATGGACTTGGATTTGTTTAACTCAGGAGAAGAATGGACTGAGGATATAAGAGGGCAGTGCTGTGTTCACAGAACTGAGTAGAGCCCCTGTAGGATCCACATGTAGCTCTTCCAGTTGAAGGTGGGGGCTGGGCCACTGTGCCTGGAAAGGTAGAAAATCACTTTTGAGAAGGATAATCTTTTATAATGTTATACATGCAAAAGGTTCCTAGTGTAACTCAGTCTTATGGACCTTATTCTTTTCAATTAAAACAACAAGGAAAAGATTGATTTATGAAGCCGAGAGATAGAGAGGGACCTCCTGTCTGCTGGTTAACTTCCAAAATACCTATGATGCCTGCGGTTGTGATGAGGCTGAAGCTTGGAGCCTAGAATTCAGTACAGATCTCTCACATGTGTGGTCAAAACCCAAGTATTTGAGCCATGCTTGCTGCCTCCCAAGGTCTGGGTTAACCAAAAGGTGGAGTTGCATGTGGGTCTGAAACCCAGGACACCAGCATTTTAACCACTAGCCCAAATGCCTGCACTCTAGATTTGGAATTTAGATACTCAGATGTTCAGTAGATACAGATCTAGTATGGCCAACTCAGATCTGGGGAGTGGGAGCTGTGGAGAAAATTTGACTACTACTAGGCCTGCCTTACAAATAACTTTTCTCAGTGTGGACACCTAATGCTACCCACTGCCTTCTGAAGATATTTAAAGTTTCAAGGATTCTCATCATTTAATGTATACCAATTGCCATCCTTCCTTAATATTAGGATACATTAATATTTCACTATGAAGGCCTTAAAATTTGAGCACTTCAGCCTCCCTTCTTTCTAGGCTGTGGACCTTATGATCCACAGATATGTTCATGGGTGTAGGGTTCAGATCCTAATCCCATAGTCCTTTGACTTCCTTCTTTGCAAGTTACCCTCAGTGAGCACTAAGATGCCCATACCCTGGATCCCCAGGCTTGTTAGATAACCCTCCCTCTAATTTCTTCAACATCCATTTTCCCACACACCACAAATTCCCACACAGGGCTATCTCCTTCCTTATCAAAGATGTTTAAAACTAATGAACCATTAATATGAGTTATTCAAAAAGTTAAGGAAAACACCGTGTAGAGATTAAAAAAATTTTTGTATTACAATAAGCTCATCTTTTAATTTCATTTTCCATCAAATTTTTGAAGTACCTTCCATGTTCCAGGCAATTAAAGGTACATACTTCAGGTGAATTATTTTATTTAATCTTTACAACCATGGGTATATTATTGTCATACCAGTTAACACATAAAGAAACTAAGTCAAAGCAGGGTAAAGTGACCAAGGTCACGTTTTACTAACTCATGGGGCCAGAATGATCCCAGCAACTGAACCAGAGCCTGAGTTTTCATCCACCTTCTTACTCATTTATCACTGTAGAACTTCTACAAACCTTTGGGTACCTTCTTTCTTGGGGCATCTTCATTTTCTCCTAGGCAGTGTGTTCTTCTCTTACTCAGCCCATGCTCCATGAGCCCATACTGCAGCCTCTGTCTTCCCAACACACCCACCTGCTCTGCTTTGTGTCTTTCTGCCACTGTGTTTCACTGATGCCTTACCATTCAATCAAGCTCATGATTCACTTCCTTTATTCCTATACTTGGCCCATTGAATGCTTTGGATAAAATCAAATTTTATCTTTTGTCAAGGCCAAGTCACTGTCCTAAAGTGTGTATGACTTCAATTCTGCCTAGAAATTTTCATGTGCTCCTCTCCTATTTTGCATGAAAAACAAATTTTCATTTCCCTTAACAAAGGAATGATTTCCAAGCTCTCTACCTGCCCTTGTTCCCCTCAAGTTCAGTGAATGGCTCTACCCAGGAGTTCAATGAGATGCAAGAATCCACCCCCTGAAAGTGCCCATCTCTGCCTGTGTACACAGGCAGCCACTGTCCCCTCATTGAGGAACTTTTCCCCTCAATCCAATTCTCTGATCCTGAATTTTGAATCTCATTGTCTCATTGTAGAATCTTTGCCACACCAGGTATCTCCTTTCTATTGAGTCCACAATCTCTCCCCCTCCATTTGTTTTTGTCCCATTGGAACACAGACATACTCAAGTATCTGTCATCTTACAAATGGTAAGGCAATATCTACCAACTCGGTCTTTTTTCTGGCTTCCCTTAGCCAACAGTCCTTTCATATCCCTAACCATCATTGTTGAACGAGGAATAATCCCTGTTCTCTGTTGTCTTCCAACTGTTCCTGTCCTCACCCTTGGGCACTGCCCTCAGAGCAACAGTGCTCCTGTTCCAGGTGCTGCTTTGAAGTTGGCTGTCCTTTGACAGTGGGGATTTAGCATGCTTGGCCAATCTTGTTTCCTGGCTTTCTTCAGCAGCATCCTCTGCTCAGCTTCCATTTACATTCTCTGGACTTTGTTTTGGTTCCCTTCACAGAAACAGATTCCTCTTCCTCCAATGCATCTTACCTTTTTTAAAATGTGTATTTACTTGGGCAGTTTCTCTCTCTCTCTCTCCCCTTCTCTCTCTCTCTCTCTCTCACACACACACACACACATCTTCCATTCACTGTTCACTTCCCAAATGGCTGTAACAGTCATTTCTGGATCAGGTTGAAGGCAGGAGCTCCATCTTGGTCACCAGTGTAGGTGGCAGAGACCCAAGTATTTGGGCTATCATTTGCCACCTTCCCAAGTGCATTAGCAGCAAACTGGATCAGAAGTGGAGACACTAGGACACTGTTATAGGATGCTAGCTTTGCAAGTGATACACCGTGCAATGGTGTAAGTGATGCTGCACCACAACGCCAGCCCTTCTAATGATCCTTAAAGGAACTCCAGGATCTTCTTGGCTGTCTTTTGTCTTTACTTCATTTACTCTGTGTATTCATCAAGGTTTAAAGAGAG